TATAAACCCGTGCTGATTGGGATATTAATAATACTGAATGATGAAATGGTAAATAAGGAATCAATTAATTACGTTTTATGTAATTTTTTTATTTATAATTTTTGACATTTTTTTGTTGAATTTTCTCCGGTTGTTTTCAGCCATGATAGATTTATTAACGTTTCGTAAATGAATATACGTTCGCCTTCGTATGAGGCATAATAATGCTTTTTCCGGTATAATTATTGTATTCTCGATTTTTGCTATAATTATCGTAGCTAAATTTCTAAAAATCCACGGTTTTTTTTTTTAAATGAACCATGATACTTTTGAAATTCGACATTCATGACCCTAGCGACAGTCATTAGATCATCTGAAGGATGTATAAGTTCGCCTTTAGATATCTGGTAAATCCAATCGTGTTTTGGATCGATTAAAAGCTCACTCGATATTCCCAATGTGGGAAACTCGGTGCGGAACCTAAATGCCACATATCCTGCAATGTATTTCAGACCCTCTTATTTCGTTGAACTCGCCAGAACCAGTGATACTGGTGGACGTGGCAGCAGATATTGATGCAGCTGGTTCTATGCTAGAACTCGTTTCGTTGAACTCGCCAATCATCTCGTCAGATGCTGAAAAATAATTGTAATAAGTCGTTATGTTATAGATGTAATTGTTAAATAAACAATCTCCATTAAATTACTGGGAATTGTGCATAATAAATATACCTACTGGAGATATCAAGTGTTGACGTCATTGGATCTTCACAGGTCACTGTAGCTTCTGATATCTGGTCAGCCACTGAAATATTTATTGAAATATTAATTTTCAACCCAAAGCTAAATATTTCTTAATCGCATACAGTGTATACAATATAACACACAGCTGAATTAACTAATAATAAACTTACAATTACTAATAGGAGCACTGATACGTGTGGACGTCTCTGCGGATGTTGCAATAACATTTATGGGGCTCAATTCACAGACTTCATGAAGCATCTGCTGGAAGTCTGAAAAATAATTGTAATAATAAGAAAATAATAACATAATAATAGAAATGAAGAGAAATTATTAAATATTAAATATTAATTGGAAAATTACTCCTAATAGAAGCTAAACAGAGAAAGACTTTTGCAGATAATGTTTATTATTTAGAATTCTTATATGAACGTGAAAAAAGGTGCTCGCTGATATAATTTATTTATGAAAATTATTGAGTCCAAATCTAAATTTAATAACAAATATGAATATCTTAAATAAAATACATATTACCATCATTCCCTGGAAATGCAAAGGGTACAGCATCTGGGTTGAGGGGCCTAGAATTCCTTGGTGTTCCTGCTAACTCGTCTACGAAAGACACCTTCTTGTAGCATGACTCATTAAAATGAGCTGAGCACACACGAGTTGCATCAATAAATTCCGTAATTAATTAATTATTAATTATTAATTGAAACGTGCATTAAAAACATGGCATTATCGACAATTCTGAGGAGCTGTTGAACGCCAAAGTGATCAACTATACAAATAATAAAAAAATGCCTCGATATTATTGTTATTAAATTAATGTTTCAGTAGTTAAAATTTTTGTAATTTTGCTGATAGTAATTTTACTTATGTTTGAGATGTATTTCAAGTATGTCGAAAAATATAAAAATATAAACACATGAATTTCCGGCCCTACACGGATGAGCCACCTTAAGAACAATAAAATGATCTTGTAAGTAAATTGTATTAACATGTACATACCATTTTTCTTTTTAATTTCCCCTATTCTCCTTCCACACGCTATTATCCATTTTTCACGGAGCTCCCTTTTTTTTGGAAAAGAAAAAAATCGGTAGTTCCCTTTTCCAGAACGGTTTGTGCACCCTTTCATGGCACACAGCGGCATTGTCACTAAATTTGTTTAAAATTTCACTTATAAACACTGAATCGCAAACTGAGAAACTAATGTAAACACCCGGGAATCTAACCTCGTCACACACTACTTCGCTCTACATATACTCACTACTCATACACATATAAATCAAATATGGCCGAAAGTTGAGACCTGCGCAGATCGTGACGAAAAATAGACCTGGATAGGAACACACCTTGTTTATTACATCATGGTTGCGACTTGAGTTTGTTTGCGCGAATAACGCTTCCTCAAGTGTTCTAGCAACCTGTGTGGAAAACGCATAATTTCATACGTAGTATCACTCTCTTATAATTACGAGAATCTAAGTATCGCAAGAGTCGCGAAGGATCCACACTTTACACTTGATCACGCAGAAACATTTATACAGTTTCTCGAGAACATTGATTCGCAGGAGCCATTTCATTATTTGTTTTGCACTCGTGAAAGCAAGTGGTGGACGAAACCGAACGAGCGAGGAAACTTTGAAACGCAATAGCGTCAATCAATCGAACGTCATCACTGTTCAGCGACTTGGTTTCGTGGATCGAACGCGCCGCAAAATCAACACGAATCGCCAAAGCGTATTTATCTTTACACGAACGTTATTGATAAAAATAAACAAACAAGGACGATAATCGTAGGATTTGAAAACATTTCTTTTGGATCTCGCAACGCGCCATGGAAGAGTTTATATAAATGTTGTCGAGAAATGATCGCGGGAAACAAATTAACGAGGCGCGACCGACACGTCGCGCAAAAACTTATCTATTTGTTAAACGCGTGACAAAGTGAGAAAATTATCAAACGGCTTTACCGCGGGCATCCTCGAGCTCACGGCAAGGACGAGAAGCGGAGCGAATGAGTCGCGGAGCGCAGCGAGGTCCGAGAGTTGAACGAAAACGTCCTGCGCACGCAACGTGACGTCCGTGCGCCGCACCGCGCGTGCGTGCCGCGTGGTCGGCGACGTTCGAGCGTACATGGCGCAGCCCCGAGCCGCGGGATTCGAACGATCCACAACGTGTAGCGACCGTCGTATTCGTCATGGGTATAGCGACTGTTGCGCGTTCCTAGCGGCCCCGAACAAAACCTTCTAAGTCGTGTATCGATGCGATTCAAAGATCGGGCGCGTATGCAAGTTGTAAAATAAATTTTTTAATAATTTTTTAATAAAACTTACGTGAATATGTTGAAAGTGGTTTGAGAGCGTATGTTGAAGGGGAGAATGTACTGAAGGCAAACCACCTTACGTATGTTGGAATAATTTCCAAAAAAGTAGAGGAAATAAATATAATGTCCTTGTGCTTAAAAAGCTCGGATTTGTTTGGGTGTTTTGCCTTCAGTACATTCTCCCCTTCAACATACGCTCTCAAACCACCTCCAACATAATCACGTAAGTTTTACTAAGATTTATTAAAAAATTTATTTTACAACTCGCATACGCGCCCGATCTTTGAATCGCATCAATACACGACTTGGAAGGTTCTGTTCGGGGCCGCTAGGGACGCGCAACAGTCGCTACCCATGACGAATAGCGGATCCGTAAGCACGCGTTCTCCCTGCGAACGCGACAGACGCGGCACGTTGGAAAGGTCGATCGGCCGACGCGCCATTTTACCTTCCATTCGCGTTTACGCGCCGCCAAGGCGAACCGCAAGACCGATTTTGACCGCGATTCCACCGCACCGTTCGAATTTCACGCGCTCGTTTCACGATCGGCGAGTCCCTCGCCTGCTCTCGCAGAGGTGCTTCGCCGCTTCCCCGCGGCGCAACATTTCCTGTATACGCGCACCACAGAGGTCATTTTTCGCCCGCGATGATTCGGACTTGCCTAAATTGAGCGGGATGAGTACGTAATCAAAGCGAACGTCGCGGTGTGAATTTACAGATAATCGGCAAAATGAAAAAATGTTTAATTAAATTTTTATTGGAAATAAAACACGTATTTGTGTTGACTTTTGATAAATTTATAAACGGCACAACACAACGATACCCACCTCCAGGATAGAATATGTAGCTCTCTCTCTCTCTCTCTCTCTCTCTCTTTCTCCTCTACGTTTCAAGTGTCTACAATATTTTCAACATAAACACATCATCTTTTATGTCACGTTATTTCTCGTGTGCACAACACACATACGCTTGTAATGTAAAATTATGAAAATATACAAATCTTTTGCTCTTCCGAGGCACTCGTATCCAAACACAAAAAGAAGATATGGCGCAATATAATCTCGTGCTATACGTGTTGCGCGTTTGTGTTGTACATCTTTGTAGGTGTATTTATACACGCGTTAAATTAAACTATAGACAACGTACGCGTTTGAAAAAATAAATGAAACGATATCAAATATCATAATTTTTGGAAAAAAAATGATACTCTTGCCGTGGATCCTCGTACGTCGCAAATTAACGTAAAAAAAGTTTTC